AATCATTTCAATGGCATCTCAAATGCACCTTCCGTCTGCAGTGTGATCGCCTGCACTGGAAAGCGCGGTACTGCAATGCCCCGCTTTCCAGTGCAGCGTAATTTCAAAAAATATGCATTGTTTTATTCTGCAGTAAACTTTACGTTTGTAACACTGTATTTGTGTATTTTATTTAAAATAAAGGACGGACTAATTTTATTATAGCCAATTAATAGAAATTAATAATTTGGCTACCTAATCGATTATGAAAATAACTAGGGATGCACTGATACCGATACTACTGAGTATTTGCTCCGATGCCTAGCACGAGTACTTCCTGTATCAGGAAGCCGGGCAGAAGCGGCTCCATGCTCTCTCGTCACTTGTGATGAGAGAGCATGGAGCCAACTTCCCTGCCAATCAGGAAGCCGGGCAGCGTGTAATGACGCGCGGCCCGTCATTCTGATTGGCCGGGAAGCTGGCTTCAGGCGCCCTCGTGAGGTAAGGTTACCTTACCTTGGTATGTCCAGCCTGTCACCCCCGGGGCCTCTCCAGCCAGAACGCGGCCTTCCTCCGGTACCCAGCCGGAGCGTTCGTCTCATGACAAGGGAGCATGGAGCCGGCCAATCAGAAAGCAGGGCGGTGCGTCATTACACGGCGCCTGGCTTCCTGATTGGCCCGCCAGACGGCTCCGGCTGGGTACCGGAGGAAGGCCGCGTTCTGGCTGGAGAGGCCCCGGGGGTGACAAGCTGGACATACCAAGGTAAGAGGGGACAGACTTTCTTGTTAATCGGGAAGGCGGGTGGCGAGTCTTTACACGCTTCCCGGCTAATCAGAAAGCCAGGTGGCGAGTTATTACACGCCACCTGCCTTCCTGAATGGGACTTCCGTTACTCGGTAATTGGTATCGGTGAGTACCGAAAAAAAATTATCGGTACTCGGTACCAAAATACCGGTATCAGTGCATCCCTAAAAATAACCATTAGCTGCAGCCCTAGATAGGTAGCAGCTATGGGTGCCTGACCCATGTAACAGCCATGTAACCCATGAGGACCCCTGCCTGGTACATGTGTAAAAGAGGAGAGGGCTTGTAATAAAAGCTGCTCCTGCAGCACTGAGACACACCCCATGTTCCCCAACTCCTTGTGGGTGCCCCTCCTGGCTCCCAATCTCCCCCCAGATACAGCAGCAGTCTGGACTTTGATCTACGACACAGAGCTGGCAGAGCAAAAGCCTGCAAACCGAGCAGACCCCACAGTGCTCTCACTCCGGCCCCTCCCTATGTCCTGCGGGGTTTATGTAACCAGCAGTTGTCAGATCACAGGAGCGCTGTAGAGATGAGCTCCTGATAGTGTGGTTCTGGACACTCAGGAACCAAGATAAGCTGCACATACCCGAGTGCTGGGGCGTATCTAGAAATCACAGGGCCCCATAGCAAAATGTTATATGGGGCCCCGTGATTGTTAGTTATGCCACATGCAAAGTCCACCTGATATACCAAACAGCCCACCTGAGAGTGACTCTGCAGAGCTCCCCATAGACTCTCTATAGTGGGCTCTGCAGGGTCTTAGATGGGCTGCACACCTCTTACCTGTCAGTGCCGTCCGCCTCCATGGTCCCCGCCTCCTCTTCTATCGACGGGCCCCGCCTGCTCTTAGGTCGCTGGCCAGTGATGTAAGAGGAGGCGGGGTTGCTCTTAGGTGGGCCCCGCCTCCTCCTTCACTGCAAACGCCAGCGTCTTCGGCCGCAGCTGCTGGCTGTCACTGACACAGCTCAGCAGCGGCTGTGAGGGG